AGGAATGGGGAAAAAATAAGAACCAAGATGCATTATGTAAAGGTACAATTCCCAATGAGAAATGTAATTGTGTTGTATACCTACAATGTACCAATATAATAATTTAATAAAAAAAAAAAAGAAAAAGAAATGGTCCAGTACAAATTGGGTACATAGGATCTGGAATGAAATCCTTATCCAGCTCTTACTGCTATGTGACCTTGGGAAGTTTATTATACCTCTCTAAACCTTTTCTTCCTAATATGCAATGTAGTGATAACTCTTAATACTTTTGTCACATGATTGCTGGGAGGTGAATTCGTGTGCAGAACTTATCATAACACCTTCCATACGGTATCATGTACTAATGTTACCTATTGATTTTATTCTAGTTGTTGGCTGCTTCCCCTCTGTCTCTCTACATTTATAATACCAGAGGAGGTCTTTGGAACCACTGAAGCCTGGAACACAGTTGAAGATTTTAAATCCAGGCCCATGGCCTGGGTCTCACAGTTAGGGAACTTAGGATTCCATTATCAATTCACCAGCAAAGGATCATACTACAGTATGTGGGCAGAGTCCACCAAAATCTAATGATCCACATTAAGTAGCTACATTTTTAACTGGATCCTCCACTATACATAAAGTTCATGGGTGTTCAGAAGGCAGAATCTAGCTAGTTGGAAAAGTTAACAGCACAAGATCAAAGCAGAGATATTTTGGTAAGTCAGTGGAAATACACATGACAAAGATTAGCAGATTCTGTGAGCATGGGTGGAAATAATAGAAAATAGCTTTCCTGTTCAAATATACCAGATATATGCTTGAGCAGCTTATCATCTTCTACAAATCTTTAAATTTTCCCACTGCCTGATGTCCTAGTTTACTTTGCAAGTTATTTTGAAAGTATATTTAGTTTTATTGCAAATGATATGGAAATAAACTGTAAATGGATGCCAAAAAGTTAAAAAATACTAAGTACCCAGAAATTAGTATAACTTAAAATATTAGTGCATTTATAGTTTTAATTTAAAGATAATACTATACATACTTTCATATCTTAAAATATTTCTGTTATCTTTGGATGATTAGTTCATCCAAACGTACAGATTAATTCTCATGAATTTTTGCTACAGGGTTTAAGACCAGCCATTCTTTTAGTTTTAAAAAATCTATGATTTGGCATCTCATTTAATCTCTGGTTTTGCAATAACACCATTTGTTTAATGATAAACTACATGTGCAAGGATTGCAGCATCTCATTCAGGTTCCCTCTTGAGAAATCTCCACACAAGCTGCCAAATGCATTCTCTTGGCTGTGTTTATCTTTATCCAACTGAACTAACATGTTTTTTTCAGTCTTATTTATGTGATTTTCCTTAATCTCTTAGATGCTGATTTTGTACTGTGACCCTAAGCTGCTCAGAAGTAATTATAATTGGCTTTCATGAGAAGCCTCATGTCACCATGATTACTCTAGTAAGTCAGATGGCAAAGACATGGGTGAAAAGACTTGTTAAAGCATCAGTTATAGAAACTGTGAAATCTATTAGAGAATATATATTTAAGAAGAATTCATTAAATATTTAAGCAGTGGATTTTTATAGGAGTTGTTTTTCCCATAAAGAGCTGATTTGAAATAGCCACTCTCTTCTGTTTCCGTCTTGAATTAGCTTTCAAGAAAATGTAGATTATTTTTTGCCAATCAGAGCTAGTTTTAAACAAAATTGTGAGATTAAGCCATTGTTTAGTTCTTTTCCTCTATCATATTTCTCTTTTTAAGTAACTCTTAGATTTTTACTCTTTACAAAGAGTATCTTTAACATTTTTATGCTGCTATAGCTGCTTTAGAATGCTTCCATTAAAACTTTAAAACTGTTCCAGTAGAAATGACCTCTTCAGAAGGATTTCATGAGTCAGAGTGATACTTTCATCTAGGTTCTCTTTATAGCATAAAATTACATTATTAGTATCTTTCCCTGATAAGTGAACTGATAAAATTGAAGTTAATGGATTAAAATAAAGTTCCCCCTCTTTTAAATATATCTGTCATCTCATATTTTCTGTAGTTAGAAAATTAAAAGTTTATATTATTGTTAACTGAGTTACCATATAGTACAACAAATCACTATTATTAATCAGTTATGCCTGCCTAGCAAGTGCAAGAACTTGAGTTTGATCCCCAGTACCAAAAAAAAAAAGAGAGAGAGAGAGAAACTAATAGTTAAATGGAGGCACATTGAGGTCATACTCTTAAGTGAAATAAATAGTACACATATGTGTAAATACCAAATAGTTTCTCTGGTGTGAGAAACTGAAAGTGTAAATAAGGATCAAAAGGCATAATAGATAATGTGAAATAGGAAAAAAAGTTCCAAAGGGGGAGGGGAAGTTGGAAGGGTAAGAGGAAGGAAAGGAAAGAAAGGAAAGGAATACATATGAGAAAAGGAAAAAAAATGTAAACAAAGTCTTTTTAAATAGGAAGGAGTGGAGGTGTTGAAGGGAGGGCAGGGGAATGGGGAAAAATAAGAACCAAGATATATCAAGAAAAGGTACAAATTCCCAATG